TATATATATATATATATATATATATATATCTTCAATATTGTAAGTATGAGTACCGTTGCCATTTAAACAAAGAATCCTCATTTTTCAATCAACAAATACAATCAAACAACTCAACGGGCTTACGAAGAAAGCGGATTATTAAACAGAACAAAAGTCATTACACCTAACGTTGTCGACAAACTGATATATCATTGGTTGTGTTTGAAGACATGTACTTTTAGCCATTTAATACATAAATATTTTGTACTCTTCAGATACATTTTCTTAAAAGACCTACAAATTGTACGGAGAAAATGTTCGAATGAGATCTATTCGGTTTTTGTTTCAAGTTTGTCAAGGGGTTTGAAAGGATTCGATGATCTTACGAAGTCGGGATTTGATAATCGTCCAATCGGGAGAATATTTTGGAGAAATCCATCGATTGTATCTTCCTTTTGCTCATAAAGGTAGAAGGCGACAAAGGCGAAGGGAATAACTGCAACAATGAAAGCACATTGTTAGTAGTGAGTCGAGATTTAAACCTTCAAATGGTGTCTAGCATGATGTTCGAGACCATTCGGTTCAAACTTAACATGGTTGAACCGTGCACGAGTACTTGTTTGGTTACATCATCTATTACTCCGAAAAAGACATGAAGTTTTAAAAATGTATAACTATTACACTTTTTATTTACACAAATAACTATTTTACCCTTAATTTCTCCATCTCATAATTAAGAATAGATTAGAATTTAGAAAGTAGACACTTATTGTAAAAAGTAGATAGTTAGGTCCCGTTTCGTTTGTGCAATTGGATTGGATTGGATTTGGAATTGAATTCCATTCAAATCTCATGTTTGGTTCGAAAGATTTCATGGATTTGAAATCCCGGGATTTCATTGAGATCCCCCAAACATAGGATTTGAAATCCCACGGGGTTGGTTGGTATTTCATGGGATTTGTATGTAATAATGGTTTAAAATATGTTTAAAACATTTGTTTTGTAATAATCAATTAACAAAAAAGTAATTCAATTATTTTTGTAATTTTTTATGATTATTTTTATAATTTTTCATAAATAATGGAATTCGATTCCATTCCAAATCCTGCAAACCAAACACATCAAAGATTCCAAATCCAAATCCCTCTAATTCCATATCATTCCACAAAATCCAAATCCCTCAAAACCATTATATCAAACCAAACGCCCTCTTACTAAAATAGAAATGTAAACATTTATTTTGGAACAATGAAAATTATTTATTTCATTATGGTATTTCAAATTCCAATCTATCTTTTGCCCACATGTTATTTTGACGTATATGCCTTCAATAAGCATCAATATATTCCTTTCTCCACTAATTTAATCCGATTTGGTTCAATCCAGTCTGATTCAGTACCTTTGCATTTCGCAAAGAGACTATTCCTTCTTAAACCTCGATATATCGATAATTTTTTATTTTTTGTTTTCAAGGGATTAATCAAGCCATATGTTCCCGATGACTTATTAAGCCATACCAAACATCAGACAGACAACTAATCCAGTCAGGTCTAGTCCGATCTAGTCCAATCAAGTTTCTTTGCATTTTGCAAAGAGACTATTTCCACTTAAGCATGGACAACTATCTTTAGTTATCTTGGTAAAAAAAGATGATGTGTTTTTAAGGGATTGATTAAGCCCGATGTTCTAGGTGACCTATTGGAAGAGTATGCAGGTGCAAAGATAGAGTTACGGCTCCAACTCTCTCTCACACACACACACACACTAAAATGGTTTACGAACCTTTGGTGAAGAAGCTTTGTAGTGACATGGACCCGATCAAGCTAAGAATGAAGAGCGATAGAACCACCTATTTATCAAGAAAGCAAGACAAGTTCAACAGATAGTTGAGAGACTAAATAATGAATTTCGAAAACACACATGTAGAGAACAATCAAAGCAGACAACAACAGAGGCGGATTCAGAATATTGTTTTGATGGTAGCAAAATGTAATACCATAATATAAAATAAAAGATAGACTAATTATGGTTACAATATATAATACAAAACACTAAGAAATCAAATCCAAATTTGATGATTTACATGGTTTTTGTATTCCACCATTGTTAACCCTCAAAACTCAAATTTTAAGCTTCGATATCCTATTGTAACCATGAAACTCAAATTTATAGTTATGGTTTGAGTGGTGGCACACATCAAATCACAATGGTGTCACCTTTAAAGGTCGTAAATATTTCCACTATGCTGGGATAATTGAGTGGTGGAATAGGACCCCCCCCCCCCCCCCCCCCCCCCCCCGCGGCTATAAGGAAATCCGTCCCCTACCATAATAAATAATTTTATGTGCCCCCTCGGTAACAATATAATCATAACGTTTGAATTACAACTGCTATCTAAAAACCTAAAAGACCCCTTATCAGTAATGTTAGGATCTAAGCGCTTACCACCACGCCAAAAACAATTGTTGATGGAGAAGGCGCAACTTATTTCCCTTATAGTGTAGCAGTCAGCGTCACATTTCGATTTAGGAAGATGCTGGTCAATGACCCAACAATTCCCCCCCCCATCTGCCAGCACTAACAAGATCTTCGCTAGAAGTTAATGGTTGCACAACATGCCTTTGGCATTATTATGCACCTCATGGGATTCGAACCTGTGACTTGCCCTGATACCATATGTTAGGATCCAAGCGCTTACCACTATGCCAAAAGCAATTGCTGATGGAGAAGGTGCAACTTATTTCCTTATAGTGTAGCAGTCAGTGCCACGCTTCGATTTAGGAAGAACAAATAATGATAAAGTAGAGGAGGATTCATAAGGACCAAAATGAATGTTCTCAATATTTCACAATGATTGACTAATGGCAATGGAGGAAAAGGTGGGTTGAAATTTGTCAAAAAGGAAAATGCATGATCGTAATTCTAGTGAATTCTTGTACAACTGTGATCAGTAACAGACTAGGGTAGCAGACTAGGTATGGGGACCTATAGCTAGCATATATGGGCAAAAGGGAGATGGACTGGTTGGGAGGGGGTTGGGGATGTATTTTTGCCTTATGTGCTCTATGTGGATTTTTGCCTTATTTTACCTTTTGTATGTGTTCAATCTACCTATTCGCTACTTTTTCTTTCTTATTTTTCTCGTGCTTTGTTTGCTAATATTCATTCCTGGCACCTGTTTGCTCACACTCTTGCACAAGCCGAGGGTCTTCAGCAAACAACCACTCTACTCTTTGTGATAGATGTCAGACATGCATACATATCCCCCCCCTGGAAACCCTACTTCCGAGTGGGATTTACTGGGTGCTTGGTCAATGACCTCAGTAACAATATATAAATGTTAATTAGAGATGATAGACCCAAGTAGCGGACCTGTAAACAAGTAATATTATTGTAATAAGCTGAAATAAATTCAGGGAATGTATACAATGGAAGTACCTTGAAGAATAGCAACGAGTCAGCCCCATTGGAAATAGATCTTAGACTATATACTGCACAATTCCATGATGAAGCCACTGATAAAGCGGTTTGGCGTGATATAGTATCTGTGAATTGTAAGTTTGATTCTGGAATTTTCTCAATTGAATATCCCATTCTGCATCAGATGAAACGGTTGTTGGATGCATCAAATTGCATATTCTTGATTAGAACTAGAGGGTAGCGTGTCAAAAATTCAGCTGAAAAGCCAAGATGGTCATGTATCTATGATACCATAGGTATTGTTAGCATATCATACCAAACAAAATACGGATCGGATATTTAAGGCCCTGTGTCATGAAAAACAGGTTGAAGGCCTTGATCCAACTTTTGACACATTCCTGTGACCCCCACCCACCCCCAGGCCGGGCAGCCACTGTCCTTAAGAAAATTCGCTTTGACATTTTTATAAATATTTTGAAGATGCATCAAATAGGCAGAATTTCTTAAATCTAATGGTAAACAAGTTTTTATTGTTATTCCGCTTAAACAGAGTTGTATTTTCCAGTCATTTTCTTTTTCTTTCATTACTTCAAAAGTAGCTGATTCAACTTCAGCCACTTGAATTTTCAATGTTCCTATTTATTTTAGAAATATAAAACACAGAAGATAAGCATTCTAGTGATGTCTAAACCAAACTTAGTCAAGATATCGGCAGAAAGAACTTTTCTATCCAGGTAGCTACTAATAAATTTTGGATCAATAAGCTCTACACAAGGACGACTAAATGATGGTGAATGAGACAGTTTTTCAGTTTTAATAAGATCCAAAATCCAAAACATGAACTGATACTACTCCATGTTTTACTAAATGCTCTAGTCAATGGATTTACCCTTAAGAAAATTTTCTGTAAATTCTTGTATCTTTTAGTTAGTGTCTCACTTTTTGTTCTTTTATCTAAAACAAGGGTAAAAGAAGACTCAAGCTGGATTGGAACCTGCCACTTCCCAACTAGGTTTGAGAAATGAGTGCCACTTCTTGAACCATTTAAGAAATGGGTAAAAATAGTTAAGACACCCACAAATAGGTCAGTCAAGAAATCTCATGTAATTGGTACAGGTGATGCCATTACTTCTGGTTGTGGATACTTGTTTTTTTTAATTATACTTGTTTTTTTTAATTACTACTAAATCAGAAACTTCAAGAAAAAAAAGACAACACTATTTGTTATCAGTTCCAGTTTTTTCCTGTTAAATCAGACCAGATATGCTCAGCTGAATTCCAGTCTTAAATGGGCTTAGTGCATCTCTAAGTACAAGTAAGGTAATGCCCTCTGTATAAAACTGAAAGTACGGTTTGTGCAACCTCCATTGTCATTAATAAAGGTGTAGAGGTGACAAGTTGGCTTGTCGAAAGCTTGGAGAGCCCGAGCTTCTCTGTACAAGCCACGTAATTTTATAATCCCTCCATCCCAAAATAAATGTCCACAATGAAAAAGGCACAAAGTTTTAGAAATATGTAATTATTACACGTCTTAATTAACTAAATGACAATTTTACCCTTAATAGTAGAGGGAGCAATGAATTTTTCCATCTCATAATCGAGGATAGAATTGGAAAGTAGGCATATACTTTTGAAAGTGAACACTTATTTCGGGACAAACTAAAATAGAAACATGGAGACTTATTTTGGGACGAAGAGAGTATTCTTATAGCGCCCTATCATAGGAACTTTATGACTTGTTTACTTGTATTTATAAGCATGTATGAACTAAGCTGAGCCATGGTTCAAGCCTATACAAACCCATTGGAAATTTAGAAGTGAGCCTGTATGAGCCTATGGAAGCACATCAAACCAGGAATATATGAGCCAAACGATGCTTGAGCTTTAGGGAGCCAAGCCCTAGCCTGATTATTTCAGGCTTGGCAAGCCATGAGCCAAAAGCCCAAGCCTGATCCTTTCACAAGTTGATCCTCAGGCCGAGCATGCTCCGACGCGACTCAAAACACAATCCCTAATTGTAAACAATTTAACAAAGAGGATACTTACAACTTAGGAGGCAACTTCCCATGGATAAACAAAAAGACCGAGGCCATGATGAAGACCTTGCATATTGCAGTAATCATGGTATGCCCAGGTAATACAAAATTGACATAGAATGCAAACAAAACTAGCATTGCAGTGAGTGTCAGCTTTGTATCCCTCCATAGAAGTATGTCCGCAACTGCGAATAGTAGCATCAGAAGTGTCAGCTTTGTATCGCTAAAATGAAATTCAACTATGAGCAAATCCCAGGCTATTGTTGCATCTGTAGCCATAAAAGGACTTGATTTTATCAACTCATTTTTGGATGCAAGTAGCTGCGAAGCTTAAAGGGCGTTTGGTTCACAGGATTCCAAGACATCTGATGGAAATTGGAATGGTCAATTCCATTGACCAAATTCCATTTCGCGACGTTTGATTAACATATGGAATAGAATTGAACTCCACACATTCCATAAATACAACAATAAAGCATATGCAAGTTTGTGCAATGTAGAACTGAAAAAAGGTATCAGAAGCTAAACTCAGATAATGAATTCATTCCAAAATTTTCTCGTTTTGGCTAGGAAAAATGTGAATATTAATCTGCTAGATAAGAACCTTGAATTTTATCTCACAACATCCAAGCAGCCTTGTAACAAAATGTCAAATAACAATGTTACCATCTAAGATGCAGGCTCAATCAAACAACAATTACATTTACATCATAAGGAAGCACATAATATCATGGCCATTAACTATTTACTTGCTGACAGGGACAGAGCTATGTACTAAGAAGCTAGGTACTTCGAACTTCTGCTTCGCAATTGTTACTAAATTGTTTAAGGTAAGATTTAAGTGCAAGATACTACAAAAAGCCAAATTAGTTAATTCTTGTAGCCTGGATAAATTTACTTCAAATTTAGGACTCTAATAGTCTTTCTCAAAGTCAACTTTAGTTTTTGAAATAGAGTTTCACCATGATTATGCGTTGTGACCAAAATTAGTCACTTAATGTTATTTTCTATCATTATTGTCTTGTGGCATCCCCTTGGTTAACATCTGTATAGTGAGTGATTGTAAAATCATATTGACAATTCAATTATCATGATATATTTCTGCAACATGAAAAGATAAATAACTTAAAGATCATAGGTATAGCTTTGCTAAAATCATTTAGTACTCGTTCTTGCAAGTCAATATCTTTAATTTTATATGACCACTGTTACGTTTCGACTTCCATTTTTCTTCTGGTGTATAAGCGCAAGAAAAATACTGCAAGCAATTTATGAAAATATCATGTCCAAAGAAGAGCCTTGGAGAGAAATATTGAATCAAGCAACAATTTTAGGATCACCAGAATCTTAACCAGAAAGCACACATGTTTATTTCTGAGTAAACTCACAGGAAATGAGTAAATATGGAACCCCATCTGCAAAAAAAAGTCTCCCACCTTATGTGGTTGAAAGGATTGGTAATGCAAGAATCTTTACAAATTAAATTCGGTATTAAAAACCAAACCAAGCACATCCCTCTGTCCCACCTGGACTAAATTTGCTATTACTTTACAACAAAACCTTAAAAATTGAAGCTAGAAACATAATTCATTCATGTTGCCCCTTTCATCTTTATGTTTAAATGTTTTTGAGTTGAGAACTCGCAAGCAAGGAAAGCCACTTCCTTACCTCTCCCCACTAATTAACAATAAAGAATTATGCAGAAACTGGCCATACAATGGTGTTCCAAGCATCTCCATACTAGAAAGCTTTTTAAAAGAATTCAATTTGACTACCTCACAGTGTCATCACCTCCCTGTCTTAGTATATCTGAATAGCACATAATAATCAACGTTTTGCAGCACACATTATGCAAAGAACAGTTTAATGTCTGTAACTACACAACACCATATCAAATTATGAATTTAAATATGCAACTAAAGCACATAGAGTATCCCAGATGTCATTAGAGAAGCCACCCTCGATCCAGTGAAGTGCATAATGCAGCTAAATAAAAGAGATTAACCAATAATATTAGATTTATAGTATTCATCCATACCCATTCCACTTCCAAGACATACTGTGGCTTTAGAAGGCCCTCCCTTTCTAAGCAGAACTTCAGCCCTGAGATGAGAATATGATTCAATAGTTTTTTTGAGACCCTCCTGCATCAACCACGCTTTTCTTTGTCAAGATTTTTCCGAGATAGAATTGCTATTAACATCTCATTTTTGTACATCTATATGCTGGCTTATTTAAGAGGTAAACATCACTCCCACAAAAATTCATATCACTTAATCAAGTCAATGAAGCAAGACCACCAAATATAAGGAACATTGCAATACCCATATAAGCAATTAAGCAACCAAAGGGAGAACAAAGATTCTATTTTAAAGACACCGAGAATTATGATGGTAAAAACTGTAAATGAGGCATCTCAAATCTATATTATAAATGGGAAACGAGTGGACCTTTAGTGGCACAATAGGTCTGTAGCCGAGTCGATCATTTGCTTTAAAAGAACTAAATGTTCTGTTGCAAGTTAGGAGTCTGATTCTTGAAGGTGTCAACTGTGGTACCTTCATCCCATATGGTGCTAACAGGTGATATATACGCTCCACCAAGCATGCAATTGGCATCATGACAAAGGCAGGAATCTTGATTTTTGGCCTGCAAACTACATTATATCAAATAAAGATGACATGCTTCTAAATTTTGCTACTTGTGACCCCAGCTGGGCTTGCTCAAGTGGTTAGGACTTTCTCAGGATAACCTAGAGGTCCTAAGTTCAAATCCCACACTTCTTTATTGTTTGGTGAACTGCCACATATGGTGCTCACAGATGATATATATATATATATATATATGCTCCACCAAGTATGCAATCAACATCACTAAATGAATGAGAGGACAAGGAGAGAAGTGAGTCTACAGGAGTTCAGGAGACTGGAACTCACTCATGGGGTTGCACCCCATACGTTCCTGAAGAAGACCCGCAGTTGTTCTTGGGAAAACAAGAATAGGGGATTACATTGAAAAAGTGACAGGTACTATTGGTATTGCACCTTAATAAGGTAAATCCTTAATAAAGTGACCATTTTTACATCTATTTCGAAGATATATCCTAACAGTCTTGAACGAATTAAGAATATTACAACCAATTAATGTGTGTTTTGTTATATCAGACAACCAGGTATTGCACCTTAAGTGGAAAAACAATGACTGAAAGGTCAGTGAAATGAAAGAGGCATATGCTACAAAATCATTTGATGTATCTAGCACAAGAGCAATGACATAGAAAAAATATGGCACCATGTTTATCCTGTGCGATATATCTAAATTATCTTGATCCCTATAGCAAGAAAAAAATACCTTTCATAGCCAAGGCCAGCAAGAATAAGTGACATGAACTCCCAAAACCTGATTGGCTCCATGTTAGTTATAAAATAAGCCTGGAAAATCAACACAAATATTGATCTTTCAGTTATAGAATAATCCAAAGCTATGGACTCCATATATTTTCCTCATGAGTATATATTTACGTAAAGCAAAGTTGGAGAAAGAAAAGGTTTTCACTATCAAAAATCAATATTTATTAGTTGAAAACTACAAGAAGAAAACCAAATTGCTTCGTTGTTTTAAGGAAAGTAAACAATTATATCATTAAATGACATCACAGTGGATAGAGGTATAACATTTGAAAGTAGTGGGAACAGAGTTTGGGCCTCAAAAACCAAAATCAAAATTCTAACCACCCCTTAACAATATTGTCAGTTGATCCACTCTAGATATGACAAGAAACATGTTTCCACTAAATACGTTAATCTTGGTCATTTAGACATCCACTAAATGCAAAGAGAGGCAAATGTTAAGTTGGAGAAATGGAGGGAGGTATTGGTGACAAAAGACTTGCAGATTGCCGCTTTACGACCAAATACCTATGGTGCATTTTTTGCAAGGAGCGTAAAGATGGAGGGTAGAAGTCAACATTCTGGAGTAAAGGGTATCTAAAAATGACAATTTAAGTATTTAGGCTCAATGATATAGGAGGGAGATGACGATTATTACACATCACATAAAGATAGGGAGATTACAATAGAGGGCTGCCTCAGGAGTGTTTTGCAACAAGGTGTCATTAAAGTTAAAGGGAAAATTCTGTAGGGTCGCCATCTAACCAACTATGTTGTATGGGTTTGAGTGCTGGTCAATTAAGAAAGCGAATGACAGTAAGGTGGAAGCTGCATAAATGAGGATGTAATGGAGTTTCCAAGGCAGAACTAGGAATTGTGCCTATCATGGACAAAATGAGAGGGAAGGTTGGTGGTTGGATGTGAGCACCAGTGAGAAGGTAGAGCATAACAGTCAAGGGGGTAAGGAGGAAGGGCAGACCAAGGAGGACGTAGGACAAACATCTGAGCCTGGACATGGTGGCCTTAGACCTTTCCGCCGGCCTCTGATAGGTTGGAGATGCAGGACTAGGGTAGCAGATTTTCATAGGAAAAAGTATCTAGTGTAGATATTGGGAGGATCAAGGAGCTGACAGATAGGCTAGCGCTGACATAAGATGGTTAGAATGACCTTCATGGCTAGCGATGCCAATTCCTAAAGTACCAGATCTCTCCTCCAAGGAGAAGTCTTACTGAACCTAGAAAGAGGATGAGGTAACATAAAATATATGAACTTACCTCAAATGACTAAGAGGCCTATCCCTATACAGTTGTCTTCCCCCTTCCCCCAGCCCCCACAAGAAGTAAAAGTAAGTGTTATATGATATGATCTTTTACATCAAGGGTTTGTGTAAATTGTAATCATACACTTGGAAAATAGAATAGTTCATGGAAATGGCATTTAGCTTAAAGCAAATTTCAAGAAAATGCCATTGAAAAATATTGTGTTTGTTTTAAAAAAATAAACTTGTATTGTTCTTGTTGATGGTATTTTGGCGAGTCAGTCTCTAGAATGTTTATCATGTTAAGGAAAAGCTTAATGTTGGAATACTAAGAACATATAGCCATATTGGCTATTTAGTTATTCTTTATGAATTATTCTATTGGCCATAGTTGATGAGGGTTATGTTTCCTAGTTCTACATAGGCTTAAGTTTTTAAGAATATCCCATGCTATTTAGATCTACTGATGTGACAACCTAAGTGTTTGAGCTTGACTCTCATAGCCCTTCCTAGTAGGAGCAGGGTAGGCTCTATCTCTGTTGTTTTTTCACATTACAATTCATAGTTCTGCTCAACGACATTATTACCCTACAGAATATTTTCCTACATCAAGTTTCTCTCTAAGTGGTAAAATCTTTTGCATGCATCACGAATGCTTGTAGCATTTTCTACTTTTCCATTTTGAAAATTATCCTACAATACTGAATAGTTAAGCAAAATTCTAAAACCCAAAGTCAAAATTTATTATATTGATCAATAGTGCAATGAATAAGAAGTTGATGCATGAGCTCCACTTCTATACCAAGATATGTGAATAAAGGCAATCATGGTTACATCAAGTATTCAAGTCAACTCAAGTTAAATGCATGTCCATTTGTAGAATCAAATTACGCGTTACCTCGCCTGCAGCCCTCTTTGAGACAGTACCGCCTGATGCAAGAGCTCTTTCGGCACATACGTGGGCATGTGCCACATTTTCGACATAAGTGAAATCATACATGTTCTTGCCATCTCCAATTATAAACTGGTAGTTCAGAATTCATGAGTGAAGTGTATGTTTAAATATATGCCGGTTAGACCAGGGCATAGATAACAAGCTGTAATACATTGTGCATAAAGTAAAAAAGGACAAACATGCGCATAAAGCCATTTTGATATATACTTATCAAATAAATGATGCCAAGAAAAGATAGACGGTGTGGATAAAGCTTGATTCCACTAAATCTGATATATCATTTACGAACAAAAAGTACAAAACCCCAATAGATTATGAACAAGATCTTCAGAGTACTTTAGCATGACAAACAATTTAACAAATGGAAAGATGAGAAGTACTGTTGTACTAGCAGCTTAAAATGCTCTCTACTAATGGTGTACTTATTGTCAAAGGATGATTGACACTCATGCTTTTATATAGCCAAATTTTCATTTCTTTAATATTAGTAAAATAAAAGCCTTGCCATCCAATATGATGTCTGACAACAGCAGCTGGAACTCCAGGCAAGACTAATATTTCGAATATGCACCAAAAGGGTTGAAAAGTAGATGATGCATAACAACACTAGTACCCATTTGCACATTTAGATGCATGAATATTGCAATATAATTTCAGATTGAAATGGATATATAACCCATTACCTTGGATTTTCCTGCCCTTGCTGCAGCAACTAAAGATGGAACAAGCAATTTATCACCCGGACCAAAAATGCTGCTAGGACGAATGCAGCATGTTAAAAGTCCATTCATACCGTTTGCCTTGATAACTAATGCCTCTCCTTCAGCTTTAGTTGAAGAATATGAATCATTGTGCTGAAACAGTTAAATGCACCTAATTGTAAATCTAAATATAAATGATATACCGTCATCTGACATCGAGCATCCTGATGGAGATTGGATATAATTAGCAACTAATTCCTTATATTCAAGAAATTATGGCAACAGATGGAAAATAAATAAACAACAGGAAGAAGAGAAATTTGGTTTTCTTTCAGAAATAAGAAATTAAAATCATTGAATCAGTGTGATAAAGTTGATCCTCTTTGTCCTCAGATAAAACTGACCCATGAAAACAATCCCCTTTGCCCTAACCACAGGCCTGGCTGCACGGCATTTATTTCCCAGTCTAATACAGAATTGGTCTATCATCTAACAACAATATAGAGAAGGGAGTAAAGATACTGTGGCATTGACATTCTGAAACAGGTGCTGCTTTAAATAATTATATAAAGCCAAGAAAAGGTGAAAAGGAAAAGCATAAACAATCAGGGTCGACAGGCCTGCAACCAGTGGTTGATGCCATTTATCAAGAAGAGTTTTACCAACCCTGCCATCCTAGAACGTTAGCATACAAGAGGGGGATTTCTCATCTGAGTTAGCACACATGGAATCTCAGATGTGGAAGTTTTATACCGATTTATTTGGCGTTTAGTTGGCTGCACTCCAGGTCTCACCTAAGATCCTTAATCTATCGGAGGCTATCGCTCACTGCACCAAACTACTTTCTGGCAGTGAGAAGACTCATGGTCAAAAGCTATTATAAAGTTGTATATGTTTTCTGCTAAATAAGTTCAGTTAGAACATTAATGCACAGAATACCTTAGCAGGATATGGCATTGCTTCAACCCCATCAATTATTCCATGTATCCCGTCAAACACCACACTAGGAGAACTAGTATAGATAAGCCTTTTCACATTTAGCACAGTACAAGCATCAATTATGTTCTTTGTGCCTGTAGATCAAACATTAGAACTTCGAATCGCATAAGGAAGCAAAGGGGAATTCGTTAGGAACTCTTATAAGTGTTTTACCGAGCACATTGACTGAATAATGCAGCTTTTGGTTATTAATTGATGAATCTGGAGCAGCCATATGAAAAACAACTTCGACCCCTTCGCAAGCTGCAAAGTGGTAAAGCGCACAACATTCAAAGTATAATCTGAGAAATAATGGTAGATATACATTTATAAATTTCAATTACCCCCTCATACAGGAAAAGAGTTTATTTCCTATCTTGTACGGAAGTACCAACACAAAATACTTCACCACTGTAACACCACCACAAAAGTTCCGATGGTAATAAAGCAGTACAAGGATACAAGAAATCTCGTGAATCTCTTAGAAGTATATAGGAAGTACTAAACTAAGAGCTAATTATTGGCATGTTTGGGAGCATCACATCACATATATGATTGGAATTTGGTCTATAAATTTGAATACTGGTTTGATGCAGATTCTGGTTGAGCTCCAAGGCTTAAATCTGACTGCCTTTTTTTCTTGTCAGCATCTTGATTCAATTTTCTCATTTGAATTTCAGTATTTAGCTCTAGCAATGACAAGCTAATATTACACCAAACTTTAGTCTATTTGTTACACAGGGAAAAAAGTACATAAAAAAGTTTAAAAAAAGTTACCTCTATATACTTGAGATTTGATGCGAAGATCCATAGATACATATTCAGCACGACCAGAGAGTAAAGCTTGCCCAAGACTTCCCTTCTCCTCATTGGGTTCGAGCTTGATATCAGGTCCCAGATCAGCGATCCGAACCGAATACATATCATAACGGATGAGCATATCCACTAAATGCCTTGCAGCAAAGCCTCTTCCCCCAGTCACAAGACACCAACTCTCTTCTTCATCAACCATTTCTTAGGATCAAGTTGCCCCTGTGACCACATAAGCATACAAGTTCACACCATCTGGCACAGAGAATGCTTTGGTGCTAACTCACTCCGAAATGTAAGCCAGAACTTCATCCTTTTCAACACATATATTTACTACCTCCATTCTTCAGAAAAAAGAGTATGTATATGACTTTCAATCAAATGAGTTTTCTTTAGTTTACTTGAATAATTATTAATTTTGTGAAGAAAAAAATCGAAAATCACATTCAACCATGTAAAGAACATTAGCATAGAACATTGCAGATATGACACTTAGAATAGTCCAAAACAGATCCAAAGAGGCTAGCTCTGAATCTTTCAAATAGAACAATAGACTTGTTTGCCGAATGGAGGGGTTAAATAATATAGTCAACCGACTTGCAGAGTCAAACCTTGTACATTTCAAATACAAAATCGACATAGCTGGCAGTATAGTTTAATGTTTTCATCAATTTGAAAGTTGTAATTTGATAGCTAAATCAAAATGTAGCTACATTCTTGCAACTTAAGAAGTAAGTTGTGGACCTAGTTACTAAACATAGTTTCCTAATTATGCTCCATTGAGGAGTTAAGAACCAAATTAACTTTTTCCTTCATGAAATTTTGCATCAATGCCCGATCTTGTTCACCTGATTATCACACAGAGTTAATAATAACATCAGAATTACGGCAGATTATCATTAAGAGAAAGATATTTCGCCATCCAATTTTGACTTTTAGAAACTAAATTTGTCTTTATTTACAGGCTATGATAGTGTTAGCGAAGAAAAACATCGAAACTTAAATTCGAAGGAACATCACAATACTCTGAGCAAGGGTGGAGCCGGGATTTGGATCTAGGGTGGTCCTTTTAATTCTTAAATTTTATTATGTAAATTAGTCAATTACAATTACAAGTATTAAACCCTTCTCAACCCTACAAGATTGAACAACACTAAAAAGAAGCAACTATACGCATGTTACGCAAAGGAGTGAGCACAAGATACAATAGGATGCACAATTAACTCAGATTGATAATCACATATAGTTCATACCTCTAGCAACCTTGAAACAACTTAGACCTCCAGCAAATTTATTTCCCACCAATCCCTTTCTATGGTAAGTTTTTATTGTCAAAAAGTGACCATGTCCAAGTGTTGTGTTTCCTATACTTTTCAACAAATGATTCCAAACAACTGAACAAGCCTCATGTTGATTGTTATCCGACTTAATTTTCTGAAGCTTTGAACAAGTATATTTCTCTCAGACATTTCATCGAACACTTTCAGGCACTCCGCAAATCACCACACTTGATAAAAGAGTAAAATTAGCAACAACCACATTAAAACCAAAAAGCCACGACCAATGAACCAAAAAGAGCTAAAAATGTAAAAAGAAGACCATCAACATTAAAAAGAAAAGAAAAGGCGGAGTTTTAGAGAGAGAAGGCAAAAAGAGTGTGAGATCAACACCTTATGAAAATGTAGCCGGAGATTCGCCTCTTTCACTTCCACCGATTCTCAGGGGCAGAGACGAGTCGTGATTTGAAAAGGGTACGATCAGAAAAGAACCTGCAAACCAAATATCACCGGAGGGCTGCACTACGGTGAAGATGACGAGCACTTCTGATCGGGCTGACGATGGAATATAACCTCCAACGAATATTACAACATGCACGTGATACAACAATACAACAAACCATCGTGAGGGTGTCTGGATCTCAATTACACTGAATTATGTATGTACAACTAGTAGTGTAGTAATTTTAATGGTTTTGAAGTTTCATTGTTTTTTAACAGAAAATTTAATGATCATGAAGTTTCATTGTTTTATTAGAGAAGATTTAATGATTTTGAAGTTTCATTGTTGTATTAGAGAAGATTTAATGATATATAAGTTATATTTTGTTTTTACATATTAATACAATTTGAATAAATAAGGGTTATGGTTCCAATTATAGTCTATCGAGAAAAAAATTGTATGATAGTTTAAAATCCAACATATTTAAACGATTCCACAAATGTGTTCGATTTACACCAAGAGCAAAGAATCAAGAGATCAGAGCGAGACCGATAGTTCTAAAATAATTGAATGGGAGAATTTTTAATAACTCTTGGTGAATATCAGTTTGAATCTCACATTTGGGGGATGGAGAGAAGACATAGAGGTATGAGAGGGTGAAAGTATGAGTGAAATGTATGAAAATATCTTGGGAACATGAAAAGAAAGGGTAATAATATGCATTAGTAACTTATACTATATGTTATTTTGATAGTAGATTAAGAGATTTTAAAACTGAATACATAAAGTAGGAGTATTTAATGCATTATGGGTTGTTTTAAGACTTTTAAGACTTTATGCATAAAATGTATAATACTTTGTGCATTAAAAATTGTTTTTGAAACTTTTGATAAATCTGGTTTATAAGTTAGTATAGATATAAGTAAATTATGGATTCGGTTGTTATGGCATCTGGGATTTTATGAATTCTGTTTTTAAGATTTGTTTGGTTTTCAGAATTTAAAGGAATTTTATGTAACTGGAATAACAAAAACCAAATTTCCTAATAATGTTTTGTTCGTGGAATTAATTAATTGGATTCTACTGAATTCCACAATTTAGGGATATAATCATTCATTATCATGTGTAACATATTTGAATTCCGTTTTGTACCAAATATTACATTTTTAATTTTCTTTTATAAAGACAAAAATAACTTTTACATCTAATTTAACCACACATCCCCTCCTCGTGTCGCTCTGACCGCTCCCGCCGCCACCACCACCACCATCAATTAATATTATCATTCCACCGCCATCCCCTACCCCTATCATCACCATCACGCCACAATTTTTTGCCATCAGTCCCCCCCCCCCCCAATTGTCATCGTCATAAACGTCACCTCCACCCTCGACAGATGCATATTCTTATCTTTTTGCAAGATTTCATTTCAATTTATGTCAACCAAACACATGGTCAAATTTCATTTCAATTCTTTCAAAGTTCAAATTCCTTTAATGGTTCAATTCTTCTGATGGATTCTAATTCCTCCAAATTTCATTTGTGAACCAAAACACCCCCTTAGACTTTATTTATTACATAGAATACATAGTGGTGTATTCGTATGTATTTTTACTCGTTCTTAGCTAGACGTTAGAGTACATTACGTTTTTGGTCCATGTGATCAGACTTTTTATCCACAGTGGTCCCAAAATCAAAATAACATAAGATGATACCTTTGGAGCGTATTTTCACACCTATTAAATCTCTCCCCCGAACAAAATTCATTTAACCCTGTTAACATTTATCATTATTTTGTCTTTTTCCTGTTATAAATCTTCATCTTCTCTAAAGAACAAGAAAATCATCATGAACAAACCCTAAAACTTAAATTAAAAACTACAAATTAAAACATAAACCAAAACCTTAAATCAAAGCAAAACCTTTTATACGGCACCGGGTGCATTTCCCCAAGGGTGCCCTAAAGTTCCGCCACCGAACTGTAGTACGGAATCATCTCCAAAGATTTCGGTCAGAGCAGGCATATGCCAAACGTGAATGCCCCCCGAAGCTACGGGTAGAACACCTGGTAGAGAGACCCAATCTTGGGTGAAATAAATACCGCGACTTCGATCTTTTTCAATAAAGTCGTCACGCGGTAAATCAACAAAGCCCAAAGTGATCTCTCTTTCCCCTTGATATCATAGTTGATATCACAATGGTATCACAATATATCACAATGAGTATTACATTGTGTATCTTTGTGATTACTTGGTACCTGTCGGATTAATGTTCACTGGAGGCCGGAAATTGGAGGTCGGAGAGATGAGAGAGAAGAGAGGAGAAAGGAGAGAGAAGTTTTTTAAAAATACCTAAAATGCCCTCTAGTTATAATTTTAACTCAAACTGTCATAATTATTAATTTCCTAATTTATCCATTGATTTGTGGTTGAGATTGGATCTCACAGTTACTACAAACTAATCAGTTCTCCCTTGAATGAGCCCCTATATATATATATATAATATTTTTAATGATGTTCATAAATTAGATTATTAAAATAAAAAGTTGTTAATATTGGAAACTCTCTGGCCCGACGTAGCTGGGCCTTGATTATTTGTTAATAATGGGCCGTACTTGAATTTGGACTAAAAACTTAGTTGGGCCTTGATAAAGTTCGTTCGGATACGAAGTTACGAATATATCTATCTCAATTTCTGTATGATATTAAATTTAAATGTTAATTTTTAAGGTATCGTAAGCCATATCCAGATCCAGATCCAGATCCAGATCCAGATCCAGGTCCAGGTCCAGGTCCAGATAATCCTGATAAGATGACAATTTATGAATTAAGGGCAAATTGCATTAAAAAGTAATGTACTTTAACTTGATTCCTATTTTGGGTAACGTACTTTCAAAACTTTCATTTTGGTACCTAAGATGTAAAGTTTTAAACGTTTAAGTACCCGGGTAACTGGTTGAAGTATTAACCGATTATCATGTTGATGTGTCGAGTGATGTGGTATCTAACTCGGTATTATTTGCTGACCTGGTCAATGACGTGGATTTTTTTAAATCTAAAATTAGTCTTTTTTTTAGTCTAAAATTAGTCTTTACTAGGTTACCCTGGTACTTAAATGTTTAAAACTTTACATTTTAGGTATCAAAATGAAAGTTTTGAAAGTACGTTACCCAAAATAGGTATCAAGTTAAAGTACATATAAAACAATTGCACCTTCTAGAATACAACAATTACACCTTTCACGAACCTAATTTTTTTTACCTTACCACGAAGGAACAATAAGGTGGCACATGCCACCTAACCACCCCTCTAGGTCCGTCTATGCCTCCAACTCAATCAACCATCAACACCCACCTCTCCAGCACCTATGCCGACCTGTTATATAGTTTTGTGAGTATAAACAATGAGCTACAAAGAGCAAGACAATTGCCGATTAAGGCGTGTATTAACCTTACTTTCATCATATTTGTGTAGCTCTTTAGAAAACACAATGACGTTATAATGAATTGCAATACACCTTCACCATCACACATGTGACGAAACTTTGCTAAATGTGATGCACATGCACGAAATCATGCTTAATCCGAGTTTGACTTTGTTGAATGTGTGTATAAAATTGCCACCAAGTTACAAATAAATGAAAATGGTGAAAATACAGATATTTTTGGTTATTTTCAACATTTGTGCACATGTGGCAAGTGAAAAAATGGAAAGATTTATTTCCTCACATGCTCTTGCAGTTTGTCGACATAGAGGGGATAACCCCCTTTCCGTTGCAGACATGTCGTACACTACTGTGACATATAAACAATATTATTCAAGTTTTGCATCACCTCCTTCTGTTGATTGTTGGTATGACTTGGGATAGGAGATTTAAGAAAATTACTCGATAAACTTTCTATTGACCGAAGTCGAAGATGTATAAACTAAATTTGTAACGAATGGACATACCTCGTAGATATGGTGTATGACACCAACCTGATCATATAATCGAAGAAATTATCCAAAACTTTATGTTGGTCGAGGTCGAAGACGTGTAAACTGAATCTGTAACAAGATGGGCATTCGTCGTCCTGATGAACCTTATAGATGTGGACTATGCCACCAACCTGGTCATAATCGAAGAAATTATCCAAATTCTTAACCAAGATCTGATTCGATGTGAAAGTTGTAATCTTTTTAATTGGTAGTGTAATATCGTAAGATGGTAATTTTAGTTTTGCAAAAAGCCCATGAAACCGTTAGAAATTGGGGATTGGAGATGATTCATGGACTGGATAATCCTATTGGATCATGGGAGTTCACTTTCGGAATACAATAATTCGTCCCTTAATGCCTTAGGTATTACAAATTTCGTATTAGAATAATTCAAGAGCAACTCTCCTCTTAAAGGCTGTAGAGACCAAGTCCTTATATATACTCAGATTATCGATTACATATATATAAGAGAGATCGACGTTTAGAACGTAACTGCATGGGAGTTGTAACCGTTAATGGATAAGGTATGGGAACAGTTATATCAGAATCAGAAGCAACGTCATGAATTCTAGTTCCATGGTCCATAGCTCTGATTTCTCTATCCATGATCCATACAGTCAAATTTCTTCCAATTTCAGAAACAACTTCAAGAAGGCTTCCGACCTTCTGAAATTTGTGCAGATCATCTCTAAACTAAAATTCTCTAAGGGGCTGTTTGACAGTTGCTGAATGATTTAGTGCAGAATAATTAAGAGGTCAGAATGGTTAAGAGGGTCAGAATAGTTAAGTGCTGAATGAAATAATGTTGTTTGGTAACTGTTCTCTGAATGACAGTAAAATTACCATTTTAACTCTCTGAATGATTTAGTACTGAATGGAATAAAGTTGTTTGGCTGATATCTGAATGAAACAATAATTTTACAAAAATAACTACATATTTCATATTAATCCAAACAAACGTAACATTATTAGTTCGAAACAAGATTTCATATTAGTCCAACCAAACATAATTTTTCAAATTCATGAATAAACAATAACATAACAATCCAGAGATGGCTTGTTTACAATTGTTACCATCCTTAGCTTATTAACATGCCTCATCCTAAATACAAATTGTTACCATCTAAAGCAGTGGCTTGTTTACAATTGTTACCATCTAAAGCAGTGGCT